ATCTTTCAAAAATAATTTATAAGTCAATATAAGTAAGTTGGTCCTTCAAATTTGAGATTTAGTAATACTACCCCATCAATAGATATCACTCCAGCTAAAAAAGGAGACAAAACTTTATAAATGTAAAACAGGACTCCTGTGGAATCCCTAAAAGAGTGCATATAGTACATATAATATTTTTAAATATTGCAAGTTAGGATGACATTTTAAATTTCTATCTCAAGGATAATTTCAAAGTAGAGGCTAGATGGATAATGAAAGTTGGGGGAAGGAAAATAAACTAAAATGTTAGTAGCAATCAGATCCTAACTATGCAAACTTTGGTTCCCAACCAGCAATACCAGCATGACCTGGGGGGTTCTTACAAATGAAAATCTGAAGCCCTACCCCAGACCCATAGAATCAGGTCTCTCAGTGATTTAAAGGCTTCTATAGTCTCATTATATCACTGCATCCTCCAAACAACCTGTAAAAAATGACTAATACCCATTTCACAAATGAGCAACCCCAAATTCAGAAGGCTAATAACTGACCCAAAGTCACAGAGGTATTAATACCTGATAGGATTCAAACTCAAATACACTGATGTATTTTTAAAAATCCTTTCTACAATGTATTCTCTCTCAAGGAAAAAAACTAGAATAGTTTTGTACCTAAAATATTTTGCAAACACATATGTAATTTCAAGTATAACACAAAGAAATAGGTGATATTAACTTTTATTTTATTCAAATCAATGTATCTACAATGTTACCTTTTCAATATGTATTCATTGTAAAGAAATTATTAATGAGATATTTTACATTCATGTGTGTATACTCTGAAATTCAAAGTGTACTCTACATTTACAGCATAATTCAGACTGGACACATATCAAGTAATCAATAGCTCCAGGTGGTCAGTAGCTACCATATTGGGCAGTGCAGATCTACAATTTTTTCCTTAGCAACTTTTTTGTAAACACAAAACTGGCAAGTTATTACAGTAATCAATAAAAAGAAAACAATGAACTCCATGTTAATTCCATGCATATTCTATTCTGATCAGTTAACAAGTTTAGGTGGGCCCAATTCTGCCAAGCTGACCATCAACTACAACCTCTGCAGAATATAATTTAAAAAGCCCTGGGATAGGGCTTCACAAAATAGGGTATATATGTAACACTTAGAACTGTCATGTGAAAAAGTCCCAAATCTTCCATAATATCTGAAAACAACATTTTTTTTTTAAAAAAAAAAAGAGGGAAGAGTGATGCTTCCATTTTATTCAAACCCAGGAAGAGAGAATATTGTAATTTTAACCACAGGCCCAGAAATAATTAAACAAAAAATAAATAATTCAAATATTCATAATTCTGTTGCAATGAATGATTTGTAAATTATACAGACTCAATGTGATGATCTATTAAAAAAGTAACAAAAGCATTAGATTACAGTTGTGGAGGAAAAAAAGGGGTGACAGATTAATTTATAACTATATAAAGAGGTTTAGAGATTATCAGTGATTATTTTTTACATAACCAATTAAAATAAGTACAACTGAAAATGAAGTAATATTGCGTAGTTTAAAATTTGTGACTACTGAATTCATTCATTCTATTATTTGAATAGTTATTTCTTATGAAAATATCTAGAATTAAAAGTCCAATTTTCAAGTCTGTCACAAATTTTTTAAAAAGCCATTTTCTTTTCCCCAGATAGTAAATTCAAATAAATAATTCTTTTAAATATATAAATACATAATGTTTATCTAATGATGTGTGTACAATATTATATAATAAATATGTATACACATTCTCACACAGGAGAAAAAGGAATGAAGAGTAGAGATTAGGTGATTTAGTAGATAAACCTTAACAGTTTCTTAAGAGTTCCAAATTAAGAAATGTAACTAAATACCATAATGTATCTATTTTTGGCCTTCATCACCCCAGTTGAAGACCAGCTTACAAAAAAACACAGGTCACACTTGGAAGACCATATCCATTTCAGCTGAATAGGGTCCAATACTTTATTTTAAATAATTCTTTCCCAATTATATATCATTTCCCTTTAAAAACCATCTATTTACTGCGTTCACAATCTTAATACTTAAGCATTAAACCTTTACAATTCTTCTCTCCAAGGTCGGGCTTGCATTTTATTTCAATATGGTATGTACATGTGAATAAATATTGTCTTTTAATTATATCAAATATAGGAGGTTCATGGCCAGCACCATTCTATAAAAAAGTCTCTAATTAAATTTGTGATCTTGGTCAAGTCATAACTGCCATGTCTTTGTTACTTCTCCCTACACTATAATTTTGTAATTCTAAGTGCATTAATAGGCATTTAACAAGGGCTGGGGATGTGGCTCAAGCGGTGGTGCACTCGCCTGGCATGAGTGCGGCCCAGGTTCGATCCTCAGCACCACATACAAACAAAGATGTTGTATCCGCTGAAAAGCTAAAAAAAATAAATAAATATTAAAACTGTCTCTCTCTTTAAAAAAAAAAAAAAGGCATTTAACAATAGGCTCTGTTTTAATTAACCCGAAAGACAATATGGCACAAACACTAAATAGAATACAGAAATAGACACAGGTGGTTGTTGCCCAGTGTTAGTTTCTATACTCACAAACATTGTTCCTAATTCAGCCTGCTGTTTTACAAATTCAGATTCCTTAATCAAAGGAAACCAGGCAAGAGAAAAGTCTCAGCACCTTTCATTACTAACACCAGAGGAAAAAAACAAGTATAACCCCAATAACCCCTTTGTTAGAAGTTTCATGCAAATACAGAAAATGATATTATTTAAACAGAAAATTGTGAAATTATTTAATCCTATCATTTTCATCTTTTAATTTAAGAAATCATCTTGAATTTTTTCAAAACAAGTCTGCTCCTTTCTTCTGACAATTCAAGTCAGTGAAAACTGAAACACTTTACCAGGTTTCTCCTACAAGGAAAAAAAAATGTCATTTCCTTTTTAATCCCTCTTGTCTAATGACCAGATATTTGGAGAAAGTTTTCCTGATGATAATAATTCTACCACTTTCTTAATGGCCAACAAAAAAAGAGAAACTTTCAAATGTTTAAGTACCAGTCTTTTCCTTCTGTCCACAATTTCCACTGGCCCATTTGACATGTAAATTCTAAATCCAAGTGCTCCAATTAAAATACCCAAGGCAAAACAAACGCATCCAAAATCTATTTTTAGAGTGGCATTCACTCTTTAGTTTTCTCTTTAAAATGAGATTTACTTGACCTATTTTCCTGTGTTTTTACAGCACCCAGACATTGAACAAACAATGTGCTAGTCAAAAAAAAAACCCAGCAAAGCCAACATCACAAATCCTATTATTTGTGTGGGTCAATTTCTTCGTGTCCTAATATGCCCCGTCTTTTTGAAGTCTACATACAGTCATTTACTAAAATGTTGTAGGTCTTCCAAATTTTGTAATTACATACTGCTTTCAATGTCCAAGTTATATGTTCACATCTCCGCTTGAAAAGTACATGTATACACACACACACACACACACACACACAGTCTGTGTGTGTGTGTGGGGGGGGGGGGAGTGCCCTGGCACCTGAAATGTCAATCATTCAAAGAACAAAGCCTTTCCTATCATATCTTAGCTTTCTTCTTCCCCTCAGTTCTACATTATTTAAGTATTTTTAGAATGTAACTTAAAATGTTCAAAACTTGGAAGTACGGGCTCACTAAAATGGCACTTAGAAAAAAAAAAAAAAAAACGTATACCAGAAAGACTCCCAAGAAAAAAATCTTGTTGCCAGAATATATGGTAAAGTTACAGTCCTACAGAGTTTACCTGTGAAGAGAGCTGTTCCATCTCCACACTAAAAAACAATGTTACAGCGTTTCTTTAGAAGTCTTCAGAAAATAAACTAGCGACAACAATGGAAGACCATACTCTTTCAAATGGGATGGAGAGTAGGAAGAGAACTCCGCACCCGGTAACCAGAACAAAGCAACAACCTCGGCTTTAAAGACGCACAGAGGCTGGAGAAGCTCTATGGGTACTCTGGACACATCTCCTGATTATTCCAATGCTTTAATAATGGTCAAAACAACTGATAAGATGCAATGCTGGGTTTCAAATGGGCAAGGTGGAAGGATTGCTCTCTCAGTGTTAGGCAAGCCCCAGGGGCTGAGTAGAGAAGAGAGGGAGAAGAGAAAGCAGCAGCGAAAGACTCCAAGAAAGACAAAATCCAGAGACCGTGCGCCCTGACTCCGATCTGACCCAGGGCCCAAAGTGTTTGACCACACACAGAACAGGGTGCAGGCTATCCCCCAAATCATCGTCGCCCCTAAACCTTGAGGCCAGATGGTGCCCGGGTAGAGGCCTGACACCATCGCGGAAGGGGAGACGAGGGACCCGCGGCCACCCAAGGCAGCGACACAGACCGGGCGGAAGAGGCTGCGCAGTAATGGCCGCTGCTCCGCCTCTCGCACCCTGGCTGCGACCAGCTCCGGCCATCGCCCAGGGCAGGGGCTGCGGCGCCCTCCGGCAACGCAGTGGCCGTCACAGTCTTCTTGCCTGCGACAGCAGCCAAAGCGGGGGCGACGGAAGGGCTGAGCGGTCCCCTCCCGCCTCCGCGCGGACAGTCGGGACCGCGCCGGCCCAAAGGCGTCCATCTACGTACCGGCCCCTGACCCCGCCGCCGCCCCTCTGAGGCCCCGAGCGCAGGGCCGATCCGAAGTGCGTCGCGGCAGAAGGTGACACCGCGGGCTATGCCACCTCTCCCCGAGTTAGGATCCCCCAGTGACTGACTTTCACCTTGCCCCCTACCAGGGCTTCGCCCCGACTCCCACCTCTCTGGCCACAGCCGAGGCCACCTCGCAGTCTTTTCTCTTCGGCCTCTGAGCCCGCACCGGACGGGGACGCGCGCGGCCGTCACGTGACCGCCCGGCGCTCGCGGGGGCGGGGCCGCGCGGGGAGGGAGCCGCGCTTCGCACCCGCGCACGCGCGGGCGTGTCTGCCCAGCCTCTGTCCCTACGCTCCTCCCAGGTTCGCATAGCCGTGTGCACCAGCTTTCCGGCAACGCAGTGGCCGTCACAGTGCAGCAATTTCGCTTACTGGATCCTTCTGACTGGTCCCTATTTTACTTTCCTTGTGCATCTTGGCGGCTGGAGGCTCGGGAAGAATGCGGAGCCACTTGCGAGAGATTTGGGGTGGAGCAAGTAAAACCCTCGTACAACCAGGAAGTGCTGCTGCCCCGCTTTGTGACCCTAAAGAAACCCTTGCGCGCCTACCCGAGTTTCGGTTTGAAGAGCCTCTAGCAAAAGTACAGTTCCTTTGAGGAAAAACGTAAAAACAAGGCAGGAGGGGGAGCCCACTGAGACGTTCCAATTTATTCACCTTCTGAATGGTTGAGCGATGCAATAGGGGAGGATAAGGCCCTTTGGACTTATTTTTCCTGACAAAGTAGGGCATGAGAAGCTGGAGGAAGAAATTAATCAGCGTAAGAATCTAAAATTAAAGAAATGGATTATTTCCATGGCAAGAGTGTGTTTTTGTTTTGTTTTTTTACGGTGCTGGGAAGGAATGTGGTGTTGTCAAAACTCTTAACAGTATTGTGCATTCCGTTTTAGCATGTACAATCAGCAATTTATCTTTATTTTTAGTTAAATGAAGAGAATGAAAGCATGTCTTTTATTATTTACAAGAGTATGTATTTCAACATTGTGTAACAACATTATCTTCTGTCTTACATTGATGTTGCTTTTTTATTTCATTAACTCATTCAGGATTGGGAAATTAAAGGTTCTTTATATGTACAGAAATATGTACATTTTCTTTTATTTCACTGAAGTCAATTTATTTCAGGATCCATATTCATATATGTAAAAGCCTCTTCAAAGGTGCCATTTGTTAGGAAAGTGGCACAGGACTGAATCACAGAAGCAAGTTTATTGTCAGGAAATCTGACAAGGCTGCTTCTGTGCAAAGAGAACAGCAGCAGCAGATTTCCTCTAAGCTAAACTGATAAGTCAGAGTCTGGGTTAGGCATTGGGGTTGGGCTTAGCCCTTGCTATTACAGGTGGAAAGCAAACTTCAAAACCTCAGGGAACACAGAGGGGAGGGGGCAGGAGGAGCAGGCACGTTGTCTGGTAGCTCCTGTACATAGTCAGAAAGTAGGCTAGTGTCTGTGAGCACTGTGTTCAGGGTACAGGTGGAGGTGTCAGCCTCTGTGTGAGTGTGTGGGCTCTTGCAGGAAGGGAAAAAGGGAGAGGGAGCAGGGTGAGGTGTCTGGGCAGAATGGAGTCAGTTTAACTTAACTTTCTAAATTAACCCATAGTTATGTTAACAGGCTAACCCCATTTACTCCAATGATGTTTTCTGTCAATACTATTTTGCGTATAACCTCTATAAATGTAGAAATATTGAAGTGTATGTCCTCCAGATTTAAGATTAGTTTTCTCTCTTATCCATTTAACCACGTAGTTTACCCCTCCTCCTACACAACCCATGAAGAGATAATAGCAAAATTGTGGTATGTATTGAAGTTTCTAGCTTAAAGAAATAATCCTAAATACCAATGCACATTGTCACATGTGTGCTTTACATGCATAAACTGGTTTAACCCCTACAATATCATATGAATTGGGTCTTACTACTAGACTGATTTTAAAGAAACATGCACACAGCTAGGATTTGAATGTAAAAGACTATAATAGTTAACCTAGTCAATCAAACCCTTTTAAAGAACCAGATAATAAAAGGTTAAATGACTTACTTGAAGACCTTGAGAGAGTTGCAATCAGAACATAAGTATGTTTCCTAGTCCATAAATGATTCTAATTTGAAAGGTTTTGTATTTTTTTATTTGCTCTGGGTCCAGATTTAGGACAGATTCTAGCTGGGCATGGTGGGTAGGCCTGTAAACCCAGGAATTGGGGAATCTGAGGCAGGAAATCACAAATTCAAGACCAGCCCAAGGAGTTTAGAAAGACTCTGTCTCTAAATAAATAAATAAAAAGGACTAGGAATGTAGCTCAGTAGTAAAGCCCTTCTCCAGTACCAAAACAAATAACCAAAACAAGAACAGATAAATAAGTTGCATTCTGTCTTTCAAAAGATGTAAGATAGGGGTTAATCAACAGAGTCTAAAATACCCTTCCAGGCTTCAGCTCTCTTTATTTCAGTAAATGGTTCCATCTTTCCTTCTCCAAACCCATTTTTAGTCTCTCCCTCTCTCTTTGTTCCCATCTTTGTTTTGTAAATAATCTATTGGCTCTTCCTTCAAAATACATTCAGGATCTAACTAATGAACACCTCTACTACAATCTACATTATCTCTCATTGGACTATTACAGTACCCTAGGAACTGTCAATTCTCAACACAAAAGTCAAACCCATTAACAAGGAAGTGATGTCATACCCTTCCTCTGTTCAAAGTCTCCCTTGGATTCCCAACATAAAGCAAAAACAAAAGTCTTCCAATAGCTTTCTATCCTCCCCTCATTACGTCTCTGACCTCACTCAGCCTTGTGTTCCTACAGGACTGTATGCAAGCTCTCAACCCCATATTCTTTGCTGTTGCTGTTTCCTCTGCTTTGAACACTTACTCATAATGGCTTGCTCCCTCTAATTGTGTTCAAATGTCGTCTTTTCAGCCAGTCCTCTACTCCCCACCCTACTTTAAATCCTAACATTTCCAAAATTTCTTATTACCACCATTATGTTTTTTTCTCTAATACTTACACAATGTAATATATGGTTTGTTTGGCTTATTCATCTTTATTACGCTTCTCTAAAATATAAGATTTAGAGGTGCAGGAATTTGTGTTATATTCTGGATCCAGATTGCTAGGAATGGTGCCTGCTACAATCTTTGTAAATATGTTGAATGAATGAATATGTGCATACACATGAGATTGTATGTGTATCATATACACACATTAACATACTGATATATAAAGGGATAAAAAGTGAACTTCTTTTTATTTGTCAGCAATTGCATATAAAGAGAAGAATTGAATGCATAGAATACAATACATCTCACTTCCACCAGCCACCTATAAGAGTGGTAAGTTTCTGTCTTTGCATGATACAAGGCAAAGATATACTCAACATTGTTAAGAGTGTTTTAAGAGTAATTGGTTTCCACTAATTGTTAAAGGCCCAAACTTTCAAAGTATTTACTTAAATAAATAGAGCCTAAAAGATTCAAGATATCTCTGTAATAATGTTCTTGTTACTAACATTTTATTTTGCTTCACTGAAACAAAGATAAAAGAGTTGGCAGCAGATTGCTGGGAATTGTCCATTATTTATAACTTACTATTTCCTACTAGCTCATGAAATACTTTCATGAATAGCACACACCTCCTCCAGGAACCACTCTTTCCCATTCTGTTCTCCCAACACCCAAATAATCTGATATTATTTATTTTATTTAAAGATCAAAGTATTCTTTTTTATTTGTTTAATATCTAAAGAAGTTCAAGAAAGCATGCATGAAAAAAATCATATAATGTCACAGTGGAGCATATGTTGATTTAGTTAGTATCAGGCAGTAGTTTTCAAAGTGTTGTCTAGTGACCCTGGGTATCCTTGTGACCCTTGCAAGGGATCTGCAAGGGGGAAATTATTTTCATAATACGGGTTGGATCTGGAAGTCCCCCAAAAAACTCATTGTTGAAAGCATGATCTCCAGTACAGTAAGGTTCAGAGTTGGGACTTTTAGGCAACAATTAGGGCTCTGACTTCATCAGTGGATTGATCCATTTGCTGTGTTAGTCCATTAATAGCTGATTGGACTATTAGGTGGTAACTGAGGGCCAGTGTGGCATGGCTGGAGGAAGTAGGTCACTGGGGGCATAGCCTTGGATTATATCTATCCCTGGACCCTTCCCCACTCTCTCTTTTCTTTCTAGCTGCTTTGAGCAAAGCAGCCTTCCTGTGTCACGTGCTTCTTCCATGATGTTTTGCCTCATCACAGAGTGAAAGAAATGGAATCTCCGGCCATGGACTGCACCTCTGAAACTGTAAGCCCAAAATAAACCTTTTCCATTCTAAGTTGTTTTTATCTGGTATTTTGGTTATAGCAGCAAAACGCTGACTAACGCACATAAAAACACTAAGTCTCTGGCTGTTCTGTTCAGTTGTACTCTCTCTCCAGAGGCTGTATGATGTGTGATATAGCAAAGTTTGAATATAGATCTAGATGTGAGAATTTGTATCTATTAAATCAGTCATTAAAGAGACTTGCACAACATAAAACAATGTCATTCTACTCATTTAATTATCTTTGTTTTGGAAAACACAGCCATTGTTTATTAAATGACTTATGTATGCAACTACATTAACACTTAATGAGTCTATTCTTTTTAAATGAATTAACAAATATTTTAAACAGTTCTCAGTTTAAATTTATAATTTCATAAATGTAGATTAACATACAAATAAAGGTTTTGGGGGTCTGCTATAATTTTTAAAAGTTTAAATATATCCTGAAGCCAGGCATATGCCTATAATCCCAGTAACTCTGAGGCAGGAAGATTGAGAGTTCAAAGTAAGCCTTAGCACATTAGCAAGGCCCTAAGCAACCTCAGTGAGACACTGTCTACAAATAAAATACAAAAAATGTGTTGGGGATGTGGCTAATGGCTAAGTGCCCCTGGGTTCAATCCCCAGTACCAAAAAAAAAAAAAAAAAAAAGATATCCAGAGACAAAGAGTTTGTCAATTCTACATTGGTCTGGAGGCTATTTTATATACCAACTATCAGCTAGTTTCCGCCCCCCCCACATGCCAGCAATCATCTGATCGCTATGGACATCACTTTCTCATATGTTTGGAAACAGAACAAACAAGATTCAGGAATGTACCAGTCATTATAGCTAGCAGATGAATAGAAGTAAAACCAAGAGTTTTGTAAAGCAAACTTTAATTGAAGCTTTTGCTTTCAAAGCTGATATAGAGCTTGTTCTCTTGTCCTATCATTTGACGCTGCTGTTCTTACAGTAATGGAATGATACTTTTTTAAGGCAGAACTACTTTGTCAACAATAGGATACAAGCCAGTTTTGCTAGTGTTTTTCTTTTACCTAATGTGATTATCCATGCTCTTTCTATGCATAGTTGTCACTTTCCTCCTCCAGTCCAGAAGTTAAATTTCAATCATAACAATGTATGCCCAGCAAAGGGCCCAACATAAACACAGTCCCTGAGTCAAATCTTATAGTTTGACTATGAGATCAAGCATGCCTTTCCTAACCCTAATTTTATGTATATATGACATGTGTATTGATTTTTGAAGTCTTATTTTTTTGCTATTATGTTATGACTAAAGTCTGGGCTTATTGCATTAGATAACATGATCTCTTCCCTGAGGGTAGTATTGAAAGTAAGAGTAAATGCTCTATATTATTTTTTTAACAACAGAAAAAAGTTTCTTTTAAAGCTGATTTATTATTTTAATAAGAGTCTCTTAAACAAGATATTCTATCACATAAAGGAAATAGCTTAGAGTCATGAAAGTGGCAACTATGTTTTGCAAAGTCACATTTTAAATAAACGGTTAGGATTTAGGAGTCAATTTTTAATGGTTTTATAATCATAAGCTTTTAAGATTTACATATAAAATTATATGCACATCAAAATATCAATTTAATACATTTATAACCTAAGAACTTGAAACATCTTTACAAAAGTCTCTCAGTAAGGATACTGTTTTGGAAACTGAAACCACCTTAAACATTTCAAAGAAAAGGAATTAAAGTCAGTGAATTGGTGGCAAAAAAAAAAAAAAAGAAAGTCAGAAATTTAGCCAAAAAAGAAAGATGGGAATATCCTGAAAAAGTCACTATCTCTTCTAAGGCTGACAGAATAAAGGATTTGGTGGTATTCTTGGGAACGTTGCTAGAGTTTTTTTCTTTTCTTTTTTCTAAACTGCTGTAATAGGAAGCCAGGACCCCATATGCTCACAGAGGCTGCAGGAGCTCAGGAACTCATAGCCACAGTCACCTACCCTTACCATGCCAGAGCCAGAAACAAAACAAAAATCTATCTTTTCCCTTCTGCCTTCTTTTTGTATTAGTGTGCCTCTCATTGCCAGATCCAAACATGAATTCAGCTGTCAAAAGATTTTTTTTCTTTCTTTTTTAAAATTTCTTACATACATGACAATAGTGGAATGCATTACAATCATAATTATCCATTCACAACACCATTTTTCGTAACTCTGTATATAAAGTGTGTCCACTCCAAATTATGCCATGATAAATTGTGGTATAAAGGTGTATTAAGAATTGTAATGCAAAAAGATTTTTTTAAATGACCTTTTCTAGCTCCCTTAGATAAAGCAGACTAATGATGTGCCAGTGTGAGGTTGGGCATCAAGTATGTAGTTTACGAAGGTTGAAAGTTGATGAAAAATATTGTTCCAGATGATATTCTGAAATATGGGAAGAATTACAACAGTTGATTGACTACTTAGAATGAACAAATGTTATTTTTTCACAATAATACTTCAGGTCCATGAATATCTTTATGTTCATCATCTTACTGCAAAAGACAACTGAAACCCAGAAAGGTTACCAGTGCTTGCAAATAGCCCAGAATAGATTCAAGATAAGCAGAGGAGCCTGGCTGAAGAGGAGAATGGACATGAGTTCATAAAGAGTCATAGAGACATGAAGAGTCTTGGTGTCAGAAGTACCATGAACTAACACAGAAATGCTTGTTATCATCTCTAAACCTCAATTTTTCTTTATGTATCTACAAAACAGGAGCTCTCCTGGATCCCAAGATTCCATTCTTTACTGGGACTTACACCATTGACTGTTCTGATTCTTAGACATGCAGATTTGTGTTGGAATTGTATCACTAACTAACTTGTGGGACTTCTCAGCCTCCATACTCACGTGAGCCAATCCCTTATAATAAATCTGTATGTATCTATGTATATCCTATTGGCTCTGTTTATCTGGATAACACTAATTAATATATCCAGTAATTCATTAATAAGCCAGTAAGTGTGTACCAACCTCTGAGCTAATGACTGTAAAGATGTGGACCTTTGATATAAGACAGTGTTATCACACGCAATTCTGTGACTTTTGTGACACAGACCCTCTCCTCCTCTCAATGCATCAGGTTCAGGTGTCACACAGGAAACTTACTCATTCATATTGCACTGTAGCCAACTTGAAGTTGAGACTGATACATGGAGGAAAACAGGATTAAGAGAATGGATTGGGTTTAATGAACCACAACTAAAGTTGACTTTTGTACTTCTCAAGTATGTGAGCTCATACAGCATAGTTTGCATTTGAAATATCTGGTATAGTTTGCATTTTAAATATCTCCCAAAGGCCCATGCATTAAAGACTTGATCCTTAGTTTGACACTAGAAGATGGTAGAAATCATTAAGAAGTCAGGTCCAATGGGAGGTTTTAGGTGGTTGAGAGCATGCCCTTGAAGGAAATTGTGGGATACTGGTCTCTTTCCCTTTCCCTTTTGTTACCAAAGGTAAAGTGAGTAGGTTTCTCTACTACATGATTCCATCAAGATGTGCCACCATAGCACAAAGAAGCAGGGCAAATTGGTCATGAACTAGCAACCCCCCAAACTGTTAGCCAAAACAATATTTTCTCTTCATAAGTTAATTCTCAGGTATTTGTTATAGCAATGAAAAGCTGACTAACACACTCTCTATATTGTTTAAGTGAGTTTGAGTTAGCTTTTCATGCTATATATTTCCTAGATGGGGTTGTATACAATCCCATATGTTTGTTTAGACTAGCATATTTCTAGCTTTTCTGCTTTCTCGGTCCTATTAAAATGTTAGACATATAAAGCAAACGTGAAATAAAAAACTGTCTTAGGCAACTGGTACATCTCTCAATTTTTGATAGAGTAAGAAAGTAGAAAAAAGGAAATAAATGAGAAATTGCCTGATAATTTTGGGTTAGATCAATATACATACAATACCATTTACATCCACAAGAGAAGAATGTGGATGCCTATGTAATAATTACCAAAACAAAAAACAAACAAAACCACAAGACAGGAAAGGGAAGAAAGGAGGAAAAGAAGAAAGGAGGAAAGGAAGAAAGAGGGAAGGAAGGAAGGAAACATATGTTTAGATTACAAAGAAAACCGTTATAGTCAGATTTGCATTGCTGTGACTAGAAAAACTAAGCACAGGAAAGTTATTTTTGCTCACAGTTTCAAAGGTTCAGTTCATGCTTGGCTGGTTCTATCATTTTGAGCCCAAATAAGCCAACACATCATGGTAGAAGGGCATGACAGAGGGAAGCTGGGAAGTAGATAGAGAGGGAAGATGTGTGCCCCCAGTTATCTACTCCTCCAGCCATGTCCCAACTGCGTACAGTTACCATGAAGTCTATTCAAACTAGGATAGACCAATTGGAATACAGCTCTCATAATCTACTCATTTGATCTCTGACTATTACTGCATTAATACAAAAGATTTTGGGGGACACTTAATATCCAAACCATAACATTTGACCCATTGTCCCCAAAAGCTTATGTTCATGTCACAAAGCAAAATGCATTTAATCCATCTCCAAAAATGCAAGAGTCTTAGCAGTTCCAGCATGCCCTAAAGTCAAAGTTCAAAGTGTTTTCTGAGACTCATGGGAAAATCTTGACTATGGAGCCCTGTAAAAATCAAAAGCAAGCTGCATAGATCCAATATATCTGTAGCATAGAGTAAACATTCCCACTTCAAAAGGGAGGGATGTGGACATAGAAAGAAAGGATGGGGGCCAAAGCAAAACCTAAATCCAGCTGGGAAAATATTTTTTATAAGTCCATTCCTGGTATCTGTGGCACATGGTAGTAAGATGTGATTTCCAAAGGGTGTGGCCAGTCCTGCCCCTTTGGCCTCTCTTGAGCATGATCTTTCTGCAGGAAGCAGCTTTTTTTCTTTTCTTTTCTTTTTTTCTTTTTCTTTCTTTCTTTTTTTTTTTTTTGGCAGATGGTCCACTTTACTGGCATCTCTGAATTCCCAGTGTCTCCATTTCAGTTTGGCTTCACCTTCACAACTTCACACATCACCCTCTCAGAGACAATCTGCAGGGATTCTGACCCTGCTACACTTTGCCTAGCTTCCCATGCCCTCCTTTGAAATCCCAGTGGAAGCTTTCATGACCCTCTATCTTTAGCAACCTACTTTCCTGAAGAACCAGAACCACATTGGATGACACCAAGGTCTATCGTCAGCTTATACAGTACCTGGGCTCCCTGGGATCATGGCTACAGCAGCCTCTAGTGCAAGGGCAGTTGGGAACATTAAAACAACTTCCTAAGCCCCTTCCCATACTCTCCTTTGCAAGCCAGGGGCCCCTTGTATCTTTTCTCAAAGGAATTTTCCCTTCTACATACTTGAGCCTGCAATGAGAGTAGTTTTGCAAATTCCTGAGATGTCTTCAGTCATCTTCTGTGTTGTCTTTATGAAAAGTGCTTAGCATCTTTGGCTGTAATCTCTTTTAACAATCATGTCTTCTTTGACCCCAGTTTTAAATGCACTTATGTACTTTTATGGCCAAACTGAAGGTTTTAAAAGTTCTTCAGCTGTATTTTCTGCTATTGATTTTCATAGTAAGCCCATCTAAAAGCTTCCAGCCATATCCATACCATAAACTGAATGCTGTGCTGCCTTGAAATTTCCTCTGCTGGATTAATTAGTCCATCACCTTTAACTTCAGCCTCACACAAAGTTGCAGATGTGGGCAAAATGTTGACAAGTTCTTTGCCAGAATGTAACATATGTTGGTCTGTAGTCTAATTCCCAATAGAGTCATTTCCCTCTGTTATTTCATGAGCACAATCCACATTCCTATTGGTATTCTGTTCTGATCTCCCACCAGGATCACTCATTAAGCTCTGCTTACAACAATCTAAGGCTTCTTCAGCCTGCATCCCCAACTTTTCCAAACACACCCAGCAAACTAGCACCAAAGGTTTCTGAACCACAAGGTCAGGCTAGTCACATCAATGACATCACTTCTCAGTACCAATTTCACTACCAGTGTCAGTCAGCTTTGCATTGCTGTGACCCAAATGCTTGACAAGAACAACTTAGAGGAGGGAACATTTATTTTGGCTGATGGTTTCAGAGGTTCTGTCTATGCTTAGCTGGTTTCATCACTTTCGGTCCAAAGTGAGGCAACATGTCACGGAAGAACGGCATGGCAGAGGAAAGCTTCTCAGGACATGGAGACTGGGAAGAAATAGAGAGAGGAAAAATGCACACTTCTGGGGCCTGCCCCCATGACCCACTTCCTCCTGCCAGGTCCTACCTGCCTAGAATAAATTCATTAGCATTTTTTAATTGTGGGCAAAATTTATCTCAGGAAAACATTTGTACTCTTATAAGTTTTAGTACTAAAAATAATGAAAATATGAACTTAAAAAAGGAAACAGAAATAGAGGAATGTTATGTTTTGGGCATGAAACATTCCCAAAGACTTATATGTTGAAGTCTTTCCCCCATTGCATTAATATCCAGAAAGAAGGTTATTGGGAAGTGATTGGATCATGACCTCTTCAGTGGATTAATCCATTGATAGATTATTTGCCAATATTAGAGGGAGGTGGTAGAAACAGTAGGAGGTGGACCTTAGTTGGAGAAAGTAGGTCAGTGGGGTAGTTCCCTGGAAAGGTATGTCTGTTCCTAGCCCCTTTATTTCTCTCTTACTTCTAGGCTGCCATGATATGAGCAGCTCTACTCTGCCATGTCCTGCTACCAAAATGTTCTGCTTCAGTCGTGTCCTAAATAATGAAGCTGACCAACCATGTCCTGAAACCTCTGACAGCATGTGCTAAAATAATTTTTTTCTCCTCTAAGTTGATTTTACCAGGAATTTTGTCACAGTGATGAAAATCTAACAAAAGGAATAATATACTAAATAAGAAAGTCAAAGTAGAATTGATAATCCAAATATATCATTTTGTTGTAAACATAAATGCACAAAACAACAGGTAAATCTTGGAAAAATTTCATTGATAAAATGATATAAAAAAAGAATAAAAAGTAAAAACAACTATAGATATTAAATAAGTTAATATTACTAGGCAACACCATACTGATAAATTTGAAAATCTCAATCACATTAGTACCTTGGAACATGCCAATCTTTATGCAACAAGAAAAACCATCCTGCATCCTTTCATTCTCTACAAGATCACACTCTTTTAGTGTCACTGGAGTATTTACCATTATTGGACATGTACATTTTTTAAAATTTATTTTCTTTTTTCTCTTCTGAGAACATAAGTTCCTTGAGAATAGGGTTCTGTGCGTCTTTATTGCCCAATGCACATAGAAGAGGTATGTATTGGGTATCAGAAAGAATCTTAGGAAAACAAAAACTTAGAATCACAAAACATATACAGTAATCATGGAATTAGCTTACTATTTCCAAGACATGACAATTTGCTTTTGAGCATTTTCAACTTTCAATAAATAAAAACTCTCCATATTATATAAAACCCTTGATAGTCCAGAAAATGATGACCAGATACTCAATTATATAAATTTCAAAATTTATACAAAGAATGAATTTACAAATTCTTAAAATCAGAAGAGGTTCATGTGAAACATACTAATATACCAGTGGATGGATACTGGTTTTGAAATAGATGAGTATACTTTGTCTCATAGTTACTAGAGTGCTTTAAAAAATAGTGGTAGTTAAAATAATTATGTAGAATTTATTATTACAAAAATAATTAGGATTGGTTTATCCAGACCCTGTCTCTTAAAAAATTAAAATGGGCTGGGAGTGTAAGCTCAGTGCTACATCGTCCCCTGGGTTCAATTGCCACCACCGCAGAAAAATAATTAAAAAAAAAAACAAAAAACATGAAGCCAGGTGCAGTGAGTGGCATGTGCCTGTAATCCCACCAGCTCGGGAGGCAGAGACAGGAGGATTGCAAGTTCAAAGCCAGCCTCAACAACAGCAAGGTGCTAAGCAACTCAAAGAAACCCCGCCTCTAAATAAAATACAAAATAGGACTGAGGATGTGGCTCAGTGTTTGAGGGGCCCCTGAGTTCAATCCCTAGTACCTGTCCCCACCCCCCACCCCCTAAAATGAACACTTTGGTGTAAGCATATGCCTTCAACCTTGGAGAGGTGGTCTGTTACTTTCTCATCAAGACATTGGCCCACTTTGTTTCCTGCTTTACTATTAATCACTTCCAGAATGATTCATCTTTATATAATTATTTCTTTGAAAAAAAAAAAAAAAAGAACGGTCTTGCACCAAGGTTAAACTGGCAAATCATAACATTGCTCTACATTGGTACACTTCCCAAAATCTGTATTATTCATTTGTGCAGCAGACATCTGTTGTCTATATCTGCCAAAAATCCATTTCCCCTTCTTTTTGAAATGGTGCCCTGAAATTACATTGGGAAAGCTATTCCTTTTCTATGGATATGACCATGAAAATGTTAATCCAAGTGTCCCCATTTTCCTTGGCCAGGGGATAGACATGTGACCCAAATCAGATTTCGGGGTTCATGTGGATTGCAAAAAAAAAAAAAAAAAGTGGAAAAAGTAGTTGGTGCTGATTAATCCCATCTGGCTTTAACTGTCCATTTGTTTCTATTATCCCAAGATACAGTTTGGTTCCTGACTTTAGACTGACTCAAAGGTGGTTTAAAGGTGTCCATATTCTTCAATCCTACTTTCTTGTGTGTGTTGAGATGGGTTGATTCCTGTGTCTTGCACTTAAGGAATCCTAACTAATGCACACTTTCTATCCATTTGAATTTTTCCATATATAAGTTTT